TACATCTATCACTACAGAAAATCCCCACACTGCAGTAACCAACGATAAGGGAGGAAGAAAGAAAAAAAGTATATACAAAACAACCAGAAATACTTAACAAAATGACAGGTGTAGGTCCTCACTTATCAATAATAACCTTGCATGCAGACGGATTAAATATGCCATGTAAAAAATGTAGACTGGCTGAACAGATAAACAAAACTGCGGCCCAACCATTCAGTACATGAAACTCACTTCACCTGTAAGGACACATATGGAATAAAAATGAATAAATAGAAAAAGATAGTCCATGCAAATTGAAATAAAAATCAAGCAAGAAGGTCCACTAGAGCCTGAATGCTGACAAAGAGTTTGAGAAGAAATAAAAATGAAAATGACCACTTTTACTGTTGATCTAATATAATATCTACAATATAGCTGTTTTTAGTCTATCTTTAAGGAGGGAGGCCAACAAACCTGCCCACATTCAGAGGACTTAGCACGGCTCAGACTTCAGAACCTCACGTTTCTTCTTTATATCACAGGGTCACTCCCACACTGACTCCCTAGCTTTATTTATTTAATGAATTTAAAATTTCTTGTTGTGGAAATACCATGAAGTAGTAAGGCATTCATATAGGTTTGGATTCACCTTATCCTCACCATATGTCTGAAATTTCGCACAGACAAGCTAATCCTGATTATAAGACGAAACCCTACGTGGACTCAGAGAAGAGCCCCTGAAGTGCCACACACGGTTTTTAGCCTCTTTCACTATCCTAGTATCAGCAAAAAGAGCAAATGATGACGTCTATAGAAGTTAGGTTACAGCAAGTATGGAAATATATATGTGTGCCTATATACATATATGTGCGTGCATATATACTCATGTGTGTGTGCACACACGTTTACACACATACACAGTATTTTCTTTTCAATGGGTTCACAATCCAACCCAGAGGCAGCATTAGGAGAGAAGCTGACCCTATTTTAACCAACATTTCCCCCTTTCCAACCAGATCAAGGCTTTGTTTTCCCTGTGCCTATGTCTAATTTTATAGGGTTTTGGAACTGTGTCTATAAAATACATTAATTCTTTACCGGCCACCTTCAAAGGAGTTTTCAGGATGCTAGAAATTCAGTCCTAAATGCCACGGTTCCTCAGTAGGGTACATTGCTAGCATAAGAAACACAAAAGGGGAACCAAGTATAGACTTGGGAGATGAATGGCTGGTCAGTGCTTCCCAGGGAATGAAGCACCAGGAGCTGACCTGAGAGATGAGGGTGGTTGAAGTGAGTTAGGTCTGTATGGAGGGTGCTTTGTGGGAAGCACGTAGGGGGGCCTGACAGAAAAGAGGGATTTTCCTTATTCTTCATTTGTAGAAGATAATTAGTGTTGATGAGCAAGAGTGTGTGTGTGTGTGTGTGTGAGTGTGTGTGTGAGTGTGTGTATCAGTGCAGTAGTAAAAGTTGATTTGGAGAAGAAGGTAGATGCTAAATTATTCAGGGTCTTGACTTGTAATGAGAGTAACTGGCATTTAAATAGCACTCTGTGCCAGGCATTGCTGCAGGAAATTTTAAAATACCAACATATTTATTTCTTATATCAAACCTAAGGGAAAAAAGCACCATTATGATCTTCATTTTATAGACAAAGAAAATAAGACAGAGGCTGACTGATGTCTCTAAGTTCACACTGGGATTTGAGCAACAGCCAGTCTGGCATGAGAAAAAAATATTCTAACCCTTCGCCCCAGTGTCTCGGGGACCCGGAGTATTAGCATCACCCAGGAGCTAACAGACAAAAATGCAGTAACTCAAGCCCCAACCCAAACCTCTGGAATTGACATTTTGACAAAGAACTCAAAGCAGTTCTGAGCACCTTAAAGTTTGGTATTTTCTGTAATCCACTATACTCACTGCTTCTCTGACAAGGAAATTCCCTGAGAAGAAACATGGGCATGGCCCTAAGGTGAGTGGAGAGTCAGGGAGAGATCTGAGCAAGGGAAGGACAAAGCCCAGTTGGCTTTCCAGCTGTACTTCCCAGCTGTGCTCTTTCTCCAGGACGGAGAGCACAAAGAAGAGGGCAATTCTCAGAGGCAGGGAGACCAGGTTAAGGGTCACTGTTAACCAAGGGAAAGAAGACAGAGCCTTGAAGTGAGAGGTGGCAGTGATGAAGGAAGGAAGTGGGTGACTTTAAGAGGTAGCACTGGAAGAACTTGGAGATTCTGTGAGTGTCTGACCTGAGAGAAGTGGAGAATGTGGCTCATCGCCAGTTTCTCGCTTGAGCTGTTGGCTTTCTCTGAAAAGAGGGCCTATTGGTCCTATTAGATTCATAAGGAGAACTGTGATCTGAAAGTAATTTGATGTAGAGACAAATGCTCAAGCTCATTATTTTTCACTGATTTGAGGTGTTTGGAGGAAAATAGTCCTCCTCCTCTCCGAAGAGTTTCCAGGGTACCAAAAGGTAACCAAGAAAAATGATGACAGTCACAGAGGAAAAAGATAATTATGAGAACATGGACATGCAAGCTTGTTTAATTGACATCTGATTTGAAACGCCTGTGTGAACACAACTATTTGGTCTTTATTTCTAAAGAGATCACGTTCCCTAGATTGAAAACATAAAAACAACAAAAGAAAAACCAAATTAAAGCTTCTTTAAAATATCCTGAACACTTATTTTAATATAGAAGAAAAGTTTCTAGCCTTGCCCAAGACACTCAAATTAGCCCAGCTTTACTCAAAATGTCAGCAAGTATTAATGTAATAAAAATAAGAGGTAAATTTGTTAGAGAGGTGATGTTACAATAAAACAAGAATCTGCTACTTTTGTTTACATAAAAATCAACACAGAATTGGCAACTAATTATAATCTTAGAATAAACAGAACAAGTATAGTAAACAGACATCAGAGTTTACCTGTTCCACAAAGCAATTTGGATCATGGCTTTACACGTATGTTAGGAAATATTTTGTTTGACACATATGTTTGCAATACTTGTGTTAAGTTTTAATCCATTTATACTTTGCTAACGCTAGAATTTATAGTCAACAGTATTGTGGCTATGAAATAATGGCTATTAATAAAATGACTTGAGGGCTTTCTTATACATATAAGAGTCACTCGTTTTATTAATAATTCTGTTTAGCTATCACATTGCTAAAGTTCCGAATGACAGCTGAAGAGCTGCGTTTGCTGTTCACCCGGATGGCAGACTCCAGAGAGCCTGAGACTGAGATAGTGAGGAAGCCCGAACACACATGGCAGGCACGGTTGTTGCCTAAATGACGCTGTCTCCGTTCTGAGAGCAGCACTTAGACTGCTGTAGTATATTATGCATCTGTGTGGGCTGGACCGACAGACATTTTAATTCAATCTGCAGAAACCTAAAATTATGAATTGTTACATGTCTGCTTCTGGAAAGTGGGCAGATTTTTCTTGAAAATAGCAGGAATCTGTAAGTGACTTCAAAATGTGCTCTGGAAATATAAATCTAGGCATGAAATATCCTCAGTGATAATGTTATTCATTCAAGTACATTAAATAGAATTCCAGAATCTTTCCTCTTCTTCCCCTTTTACATAAATGAAGCTATGCTCCATATATTAAGACCATTAAGAAAACTCAGGAGGCGACTCCAAGGAGTTACCTGGCCCCTGTGCTGCCTCCATGTGCAAATAACCGTTGGCTCAAATGGCCAAGAATCTTCAAGGTGTATGTTTTGCCAAGCAAGTTTTCTCTTAAGCACTTACTGAAAAGTTTGTAGAAACTCTTGTCCTTTAAAGAAGAAAACATTAGAGAAGGCAAAATAGCACATAAATACACAAAGGAAACAGTAAGGGGAGAGAACTCACGTTTTCTTGAAGCGGCTTCTTCCTGTGATTTAAAGTTTGAAAGGAGAACATCTGGTGGTTCTCGTTCCTCCAGCACAACTGCAAAGGAACAGAACGGGCCGCCAGTGCTATCTGAGGGTTCCTCCCAACTGCAGCTTTTCAACTTTGTAGGAGAAAATAGGAGGGTCCCTGTGTTTCCTCCCAGTCCTGTGACAAGCACATAGCTGACTCCTGCTGGGCTGAGAAAGCAGTCCTTCTCAATTTGTACTCAAAATTACAAATAACAAATTCTCTGAAGGACATCCTTAAAGGGAAATCTACCAGGATTAGTATTTGAAATATCTGGGTAAGCTCCAAAAAGTTTAAAATACACCGCATTCATACAGACACGCACACTTGAGATATTTCCACTGACTCGGCTAAATCAAGGGCATATTTATAAAAATAATTTGCTAGAAGGATGCTGTGTTTTCTGTTTCCGTGATTAATCTGTTTTGGTTCTGTTTGTTTGCTGGTGGCTATTGGAATGTTCCTCGGAGGTTAGAAATGGCTGAACTGCTAGGCTTTCTTTTTTTCTATTTAATTATCTGGATAGAGATATGTCCCCATTTTCTCACCTGCAGAGTTCTTGGTAGTTTGAGAGATGAGCTGTGGCCTCTATCACTGCCTTCTTGGGAAATTCGGGAACTTTGAGCCTTGAATTTGAGTAGTATGACTCAAGGTAGTTCCCTGCTTTCTGCACCTCCAGTGTGGACTCAGCCTCTCCTGCTTCTGCCTGCTTCTTTATGAGCTGGCGACAATTGTTAGGTCACGTCCATGGCTGTATGACTTCATTTAAGCACAGACTCATGGCAGGGTGGGGGAGTGTCTTTTGAAATCTTGAATTTAAAAACATGAAAAGTAGCTAGAGATATCAAAAGTTAAAATTGGGGGCAGTGCCTATGGCTCAGTGAGTAGGGCGCTGGCCCCATATACTAAGGGTGGTGGGTTCAAACCCAGCCCCGGCCAAAATACAACAAAAAATAGCCAGGCCTTGTGGCGGGTGCCTGTAGTCCCAGCTACTTGGGAGGATGAGGCAAGAGAATCGCCTAAACCCAGGAGTTGGAGGTTACTATGAGCTGTGAAGCCATGGCACTCTACCAGGGGCAATAAAGTGAGACTCTGGCTCTTAAAAAAAAAAAAAATCCAAAACCAACAAAACAAAACAAAAAGTTAAATCTGAAGTAATGTTTGGTGAGATTCACACTAAGTCACACTGATCCATGAAGCAAGTGAGACTTTCTCCTGGAATCTCCATTTGAGGCCATTTCTTCTGTTTGGAAGGTAGGATGAGAGTAGAAATATTTTGCCTGAAATTCATTTTTTTCCCAGATGAAACTCAACCTGTCCCTTGTTCTACGTGCTGAAGCCATGATATGTTAATGTTATCTAAGGTCAAACTCAGGTATACACCATCAAGGAACTCGAGATAGAGAAATGCAGAGTCAATTATCTCTGCCCTTTTCTTGAGTCATCTGATTTGGATGATGAAGACATTACAGAAAGGTAAGCATAGTGATTAGCAAAAACAAATTTTGATTCAGTAAAACAACAGGAGTACATTTCATGAGTAATAGATTTTGAGCCTCATGACGCCACTGGTAAATAGCCATCACCTGTGTGTGTTTTCTCCCCTTCCTAGGTGAGAACCCCTGAGCCCCATCTGGTTATGGGCATCACCCTCTTTCTCACACCTCTGCTTCCTGAGAGGGAAATTTACGTTCATGGAGTCAACTTCTGAGCTTCCTTCTCCCTCCCTCCTCAACTTCCTGCAATTCTTTCACTTGAACCACTCTCCCAAAGGTGCTTCATTAAGATCATAGAAGATCTTAGTTAGCCACCCAAAGAGCATGGGCTTTAATCTTACCAAAAATTTCTCATCTGTGTCTGTTTCCTTTTGAAATTCTCCTAAGTTGGGCTCACTAAATTCCCCTCCTCCTGGTTTTCTGTTTGCTCTCGACATCCTCAGTCTCCTCTCCCTTTATTCACATCACTTTCCCCCATCGAGATTGATTCTGCTTCTCTGTACACTTTCCATCAGGATCCTTATCAAAACAATTTACAATTATGTACCATGACTCTCAAATAGGTACTCTCATCTGATATCACTCTCCAAGGTTCCAGTCGTGTATTCTGTTGTCTACTGGACATCTTTCTCCACAAGCTTCCAGGCACCTGAAACTCAGCTGTCCCAAATAAACCTCTTCACCTTCTCCCCAGTCCAAACTTGTTTGCTCTGTTTCTTTTCCTTGGGCACAGCACCATCATCCACCTATTACCTAAGACTTCATTTATTCTCCACTCTCACCATCATTATCCAACTTCTGTGAGTTCTGCTTTGTTAAAAGATCTTTCTCAAACTCATCCTCATCACTGAATTCCAGGTCTCACATTTCTCACTCAGATTATTTTATGAGTTATAAAACAGCTGACACTTGCCCCAGCCTGGTTCCTATCTATCCCTTCTCTACATAACTATAGAACAATATTACTTTAAAAATACAAGGTTGTCAAATTATGGAATACTTGCTACCTGCAGAAAATCTGAAACAAGAATTGGAATCTATAAAGAGACAGCCACAGCCTAAATCTCTGCATTCCTCCTTAGAATTTTATGTATCATGACTATGTTAACTATATAAGGAAATGCTTATGTGTTTGTGTAGATAGTGTGTGTATATATATAGCTATAGTTATATATTTAATAAGGAATATAAGACCAAACATGTATATAGTGGTAGAGATCAGAAATATTTTTCTTTCCCATTCCTGTGATCATGGTCAAGCTCTCTATAACAAAAACAAATCAAGAGGAGAAAAGCATACAAATGTTTTTAATGTAAGTTTTCTATAACACGAGAGCCTTCAGAAATGAAGGTCCAAAGGAACAGACACAGTCGTGCATTTTTATGTTTCTGTTTGATGCAGAGTGATAGTCGTGGAGAAGTGTGATTGAATAAAGTGGGTTAATGTAATGAAAATAAACTGGGGAACTTAGCAAAGCTGGTTTGTTCAGATTCTTCTTCCTTTCCTCCAGGCGGAAGGTGTTTACTTCTAGAATGTGGCCTGCTTCGGGGGCCAATGGCAAGGGTAGGTGAGAGTGACCTTCCTGCTTCCGTGGCATTTTCAAGGTCAAGGTGCCATATTTTGGTGTAGTACTCATACTTCTGTATTCTTTTTTTTCACTTAAATACATTATGATTTTCCAAATCAATAATATATTATTTTAAAAGTAGCTGTGAATTATTGTTACAATATACTGAAATTTATAATGGGATAGTTTCTCCTCTTTTTTTTTTTTTTGAGAAAGAGTCTTACTTGTCACCTTCAGTAGAGTGCCCTGGCGTCATAGCTCAACCTCAAACTCTTGGGCTCAAGCAATTCTTTTGCCTCAGCCTCACGAGTAGCTGAGGCAAATTATTTTCCCATAATCCTCGGCTATTTTTTTGAGACAGTGTCTCACTCTTGCTCAGGCTGGTCTCAAACTCCTGAACTCGGGCGATCTGCCCACCTCGGCCTCTTGGAGTGCTGGGATTACAGGCATGAGCCACCACGCCTGGCCTCTCTTTTCAACACAAAAAGATACGCTGAACATTTATAACATATGAGTCACAAAGACTGAGTTTAGTTTGGAAAAAAGGAAGGAGAAAAATCTAGAATGCTCACTTTAAGTTCCTTGACATACTTTAGGTATTATTTAAACAGCTATATTTTCTATACTAACCATGTGTTAAGCCTTCAAGCACTTACTTTAAGTCTATATAACAGAGTTAGGGTAAAGGCTATATTTTAGATAGGCTCAGCAGATAAATAATTTGACAAAGCACTTTTATTCAATGTAAGTTGAATAACAGGAAAATAAAAAGACGACCTTTGGGCCTTTTGTCTTAGGTTGACTAGTCAGACAAAGGGTTTTTCTTTGGAGAACTAATATCTTAAAAAGATACTGAAAAGCCAAGAAGGTTGTCTTTTTGTGTGTATGCAAGAAGTCTATACTCCTCTCTACTACAGGTTGCGGAAAGGGACATATGAACATATGCTAGTCCACATTTTACTTCTCAGAAAAGGAAGATTTTACCTTTACAAATCATATATACATTTTATAGGACTCTGGCAAATTGTCAAATTGCTTTGTAAAATGAAGGGATCTTCTTGAAAGATAAATCTAATCACTTCATTTCCCTGGCTAATTTACTCTTTTAAAGGCTCTTAGTGTCTTCAGGGTAGTGGTTAAAGTTTTTAGCTTAGCACATAAGGATGTCATAGTCCCCTCCGGTCTGTTTCATTTCTATGTGTCCTGTTTCCCCAGATGACTTTTCATATTTTGCTTAATTTACAGCTCCCCAAATGTCTTACCGTGTCAGACTAATGCATAGTACCTCTGCACCTCCTTTCCTCCACCCTGAATGCCCACCTTCCTGTCTCCCATTTCCACTTACTTTTTCTTTTAGGACTCAGTTCAGGGGTTACGTCTAGCCTCCCCACTATGCAGGACAGTCTGAATTGCACGTCTTCACTGGTAGCACCCCGTTTGCTTCTATCAAAACACTATATTATATTACTGTTGTTGATTTTTGCCATGTCATTGAACGTAAGGCACATTATCAAAAACTGGCATTTGCATTCCTGGTACTGTCATACAAGATGTAAGAAATTGGGCCAAGACTGTAAATTCACCGTGTCCTTCCTTTCTTCTATCACGCTGTCAATGTAATCCTGTCTTTCTTGATCCTCAGAACAAACACCCAGGTTGTCTCACTACTAATCACTTAGGAGACAGAACAATTGAGGCAAGTGTGGTAAAACACCACAACACTGGGAACCTACAAACATTTAATACATGTTTAAAGCCCCATGTTTGGCCATGTAAAATGTGCTCTCAGGTATAATGCACACACATGTTCTTGGCCCAAGCTTTCAGGAAAATGCGCCTTGAGAAGCACCAGGCTGGGAAAGACACATCTGGGGAGGGCTAATGGCCCCCCTGGTAAATGTGTGGACGGCACTGCCCACTCCGGGAAGGCTGCCTCTTCCCTGTCTTCCAGGAGCCATTCCCTTCCTGCTACATTGGGGAGCACAGGCTGAAATGGCCACACATGTGGCTGGGGTGGAGCTTCTGCAGCCCCTGGCTTGCAGGCAGCCAGGAGGGTCCCTGGGGCCTGTGTGGGGCTCCTGGGCCCCTCTTTGCAGCTGGGCCTAGGCCTTCACACTGAAAAGCTGCAACCCACACCACCTTGACCTTTCTTCTGACTGAGGCATTTGGTGAAGGCCACTCCAGCCAGCTATCAGCAGATCCTGGATCCTCCCGGACTGGAACCCCATGCGCCCTGCAGGCCTAGAAGTGAGGGTGCAGGAGGTGGGCTGGGATCCCCTCTCCTGAGCCATACTACCCACGTATAATAGGCATCCTTATTTGTCCCTCAAAAATTTGGACAAAAAGTGCACATGATACATGGTAAAATACTGTGGTTGTTCTTGTAATATAGGGTAACTCTTTTCTAAACACCTGAAAGTCAGGGCTTTTCTTGTTTCAGCGGTTTGGGAGAAGTCTCTCCCGGCGTCTGTTTATTCTTGTTTGCCGAGTGGTCCTCGAGGTCAACACCACTGTGCATCAGCAGGTCATTTTCATGTCACCTCAGTAGTGCTCCCAGATCCATGAGGAAAACAGACGCCCTGGGGGAGTTTCTGTGCTTAGCTCATCTCCCATGTGCACTGAGGTAAAGGCTTCATTGGTCTGAGTGAAAGAAAGCATCCCCCCCATCCTCAAACTCCCACAAGTGAAGGACTTGACACAAAAAACCCATTTGGCTCTAGGTCAAGAGGCATTTCTGCTTGTTGGTCTAAAACACATTCTCTAAAGAGTTCAAGATGGTTTTACTTCACCTTAAGCAACTGCTACATTTACTGTTCTTAGCATTAAGGTCTTTTCTTAAAAAATACTATGATTTTGAGAATATATGCCACTTTTCACAGGCTCTTTCTGATGGCTAGAAGTGAGTTTCTTGACTCTTTAAAAATACAAGGGTCGCGGGATGGAACCCCGGCGCGTGAACACCGAGCACATTTTCCAGTATCTCTATTGTGACGGTGTGAGTTAACAGACTGACAGACAGCTACACACTTGCGGAAATCCAGCTAATTTGAGAAATTACTAAGATAGGAATGAAAGACATTGAGAACTATTTTTGTGTAAAAAAAAATACTTTAGTAATGTTCAGAATAAGAATTCCAATATAAATATATTACATATAATATACACATCAAATTATCCTAGCATTAGTTAAAATAATGGAAGCTTCGAAGTACCATATACTTTAATAGAACAACAGGCAACTTTATTTTAAACATTTTTAACCCCACCATTTACGGTAACAATAAACATTTAATTTTTATTTTATTAATGAAATGAGACCTTTACATACAAAATCAGCTATGTAATTTCATGAACAAAAGCAATAAAAATCAGAATTGTTTTTGAGAAATGAAACAATGCAAACAAGACAATGGTTCCCTTTACTTGCTTCATCACCTCTTCTTCATCATCTATTCTCTATGCTCTAGTTTGAACACAGCATGGATTACTTTGGTATCTGCTGAAACATAAGTGATACGGTTCTTAAACAAAGGTTGAATAAAAAATAGACTGGCTGTTCAAAATTTTAGAAGCTGAATAAATAAAAGTAACCTGGGTTTGTGATGACAGAGGGTTTGTCACTTTTCTTCCTTTGCTCATATGAAAATATATAATAAAAAATTATTCATGGGAAAACATTTTTAAACTGAATGTTCTATTCCCGTCAAATTTAAGAATAATGTGTAGTCAGCAATTACATTAATTACCTTCACTTAAGACTAATACCTTGGAGTATTATTGGAGTAGAGGTAGACTGTCTTTGTATTCAAATATTTTGAAATAGAAAATTTTAAATGCCATATAAGGAATTATATAAAATAATATTTTTTTAAATATTTGAGATTTCAATTAGTATTATATTCAAAATAATTAAATTCCTTTTTGATAATTAATAAATTTTTGCTTGAAATCATTTGGTTGAAATGATTACCCCAAGGAACTACTTTAGTCATTTTTAACAAACAATCTTTAGAAAACAAAAATACCTATTTCTTATAAGGATTTCTATTTATAGAAAAAAGATTCCAATGACATAAAGCACTTACAGAACCTTTTAATGGAAAAGATAACTATTTGTCACACTGGTATTTACAGTGTTAGATGACAGAGCAACTACTGACGTTAAAAAATGTAATGTAGAAATACAAACTGGTCAAAGGAAAATCTGTAAAATTTGTATTCCAATGTTAAATGTGACTTATACCTACTGGCAATAAACGGTACGTTTTCTCGCATACTTGTGAGCTCATTTTAGAAGAGAGCACAGCAATGCATGAACTCCCATAGACTTCTTGTGCCCCTACAAAGGCATTCCTGTGGCCCCAATCACATAAAAGTTTATTCTGCCAGAAATAAG